TTTTCTTAATTTCCAACAGACCAGGTGGGCGGACTTACTCCCTTTTGCAGAAGTTGCCTACAATAATGCAGTCCACTCCAGCACAGGTTACACTCCTTTTCAAATAGCCACCGGTCAAAGTTTCAACCCATGCCAGAATTAACCCCAAATGAACCAACGATCCAATCACTGGAAGAATGGATGGAACAATTACAAAACACATGGCCAATAGTTAGAAAAGCACTAAATGAAGCTAGGCAGGCATACAAAACACAAGCCGATAAAAAAAGGGTTGAGCCTACACCATTCATTATAGGAGAAATGGTGTACTTATCTACAAAATACCTAAAGTCCCTACAGCCCTGTAAAAAACTTGGACCAAAATATATAGGGCCTTTTCCAATTAAAAGAATCATAAACCCAGTAACAGTAGAATTAGAATTACCCAAAAATCTCAGGCAAATACACCCAATTTTTCATTGCAGCTTGCTGAAAAGAGAGTGTCAGTCACCTTTACGGCCAAAAATCCCCACCACCACCTCCAATTATGGTGGAGGGCGAACAATACTTCGAAATAAAGGAAATCCTTGACTCTAGGACAGTGGTTCTCAACCTTTTTAATGCCACGACCCCCAACTGGTCGTAAGTCAAGGACTACTCAACCGGTCGTAAGTCGAGGACTACTCAACTGGTGCAGCACCGTTTGCAGAATGGGACTTTGGGCAGGCTCAGCAGGGCAGAGACAGCCTGGACAATTCCTATTGGCTTTTGAAAGCCAACAGAATTAGACTCTATTCAAGAGAGTCTATTCTATTGGCTTTCAAAAGCCAATAGAATAAAAGGGAGTAGCACAGCTAAGGAAAAGGGGGGGAAAAATGGTGGACTGCGTTGTTTGGTGACCCCCGTGAAATGGTTGTTCGACCCCAAATGGGGTCCCGACCCACAGGTTGAGAACCACTGCTCTAGGAGATATCATGGAGTGACTCAGTACCTAGTTGCCTGGAAACACCTCCCTGCCTCACAAAACGAGTGGGTCCATAAACGTCATGTCAGAGCCCCGAAGCTATTAAAGAAGTTTCACACAGAATATCCTAACAAACCTGACTAACTTTTATACCTGTTTTGTTTTCTTTCAGGTGGATCTGTCTTATTTTTGAGGGGGCAGGATGTCAGAATCCAATTATATTTCATCTCTAGTTATCAACTATAGAAAACCCTATTTCTGCCTTCTCTAGATTCTGTCATATGATGAAGGGAAGGGGGTGAACAAAGGGGCTTTATGGCCCTCACTTCCTTCGGTACACTTCAAAGGAACTGGATGTGGATATCACCAAAAGGACTAACCATAACAATGGGGCTATTACCTTTCATGTAGTTCTCTCTGAAGTCTCCATCCAGCCGGCAGTAAGGAAAAGGGGGTGGGAGTGTAATGCCTGAGACTGTCACTGGAAGAAGGGGTGATTGGGTGGGGCTACTGGGGAACCCCTTAAAACCTTGAATGGGAGAGCTTGGACCCCAAGTCCTGTCTAGAACGCCTGCAACCATTTTCTCTTAATAAAGGATGCCTGTTGGAAGAACTATTCCAAGAGTTCTGTTTTCTTAAGATGCAAAGTGGGGTGGGTCCTTACACCATGTTTAGCCCAAGAAGCAAAAGAGAAATAAATGAGAAGAAAAATATAGTGGAAAATGCGTTTCTTGAATTAATGCTTAATATTATCTGCATATGTACAAGTTCTATATTCTAGGCTCCCCACTTCCTCTAACATTCTGTGTTCTTCTCCCCTTCACTTCCCAAGGCACTCCTTTTTGCCAGCTTTCTCTATGTCCACAGTTTCCCGAAAATTATATTCTTTTTTTAAAAGTATTTTATTAATTTTCTATTATTACAATTCATTATGCTTAATGAACATATTGTCTGGGTTAATTTTTTGCTTAGTAATAAAAGTTAAGTTCTTGCTCTCTATCTCGTTTTTCCAGCCATTGATAAAATAAGTTCCATGTTTGAGAATATTCTGTGTCTTCTTTTTCTTTGATTCTCAATGTAAGTCTTTCCATTTCAGCACAGTCCAGCAAGTCATGTCCTTCTAAATATAACAACCTTTTGTTTCTAAGGGTTATCCATTCTTTTAACCATGTTAGAGCACATGCTTGGTAGTATAAGATCCAATCCGGCAGTCCAAATCCTCCATTTTCTTTAGCTTCTTGTATCATTTTCAGTTTGATTCTGGCTTTCCTTCTCCAAATTCTTCTATCCTTTTTAATAATTTAAGAGTTGTCTCCAACAATTCTTTTAAAATGAATACCAGGTCATCTGCAAATGCTTGTAGTTATAGCTTTTATCTTTTAGCTCCATTCCTTTGATTTCCAGATCTTGTCTGATATTTCTGTTGAGAACTTCCAAACTAAATATAAATAGCAGTGGGGATAGTGGATATCCTTGTCTTGTGCCTTTCTTTATATTAAAGTTCTCTGTAGAGTCCCCATTGACAATTACTTTTGCTGTTTGTTTATCATATATTAATGATCTTTATAAACTTTTCTCTAAAGTCCATCCAGTTTAGTTGTTGTATCATAAATTGCCAACTTACACTGTCAAAAGCTTTTTGAGCATCTAAGAAAATTAGTGCCATTTGTTTTCCTGGGTGCATTTCATAGTATTCCAATGTATCTAAAATAATCCTTCAGTTATTTTTTTATTTTGTCTTTTTGGTAAAAATCCATTTTGATCTGGATGAATAAATTCAGTCAAAAATCTTTCAGTCTCTCTGCTATTATTGAAGCAAAGATTTTGTAATCTATGTTTAGTAGTGATATTTTTTATCTGTGTCAAATCTGGGTCCTCTTTTGGTATTAAAATAATATTTGTTTCTCTCCATGTGTTTGGTAATTTAGCCTCTAGTAATACCTCATTGCAAATTTCTTTCATTGGTGAGCTTAATGTATCTTGTAAACATTTATAGAACTATGTAGGTAGCCTGTCTGGTCCCAGGGTTTTATCTTTTTTATATATATAATTTCCATCAATTCCATCATTGTAATTTTTTCATTTAGCATATTTTTAAAGTTCTTTGGAATGTTTGGTAGATTAGCTTTTTCCAGTTATTGTACTATTTTTTCCCAAGAGATTTCTTCTGTATCATATAATTTTTCATAAAATTCTTTAACTATTTTTTATTGCAGCATTTTGAAATTGTAATCCGCCCTTCTCATCTTGCAATTTATTTATCAGTTTCATCTCTCTTTCTTTTTTCAGTTTATAAGCCAGCCATCTTCCCAGCTTATTTGCATTTTCAAAAAAGTTTTGTTTTGCTTTTTTAATTTGTTGAGTCAATTCCTCTGACTATTAAATTTAGTTTGTTTTATTGTCTCCATTTGTCTTTTCACAGCTTTCTTTAGTGAATATATCTGTAATTCTAACTCCAATTTCTTAAGATCTGATTGGCGTCATGGTGATACAGGCGAGGGAAAGCTTCCCAAGGCTGATTCCTACCTGTAGATAGGAATAGTAACCTCTTGAGATACAAGGTCGCTGTTTCTTCCAGGGCCAAACAGAGAAAACTGGCTGTCAGTAGATCAGGTTCAAAAATTCAATTTAGCAATTATTTTATTATTCTACATCCAACCAGTACTGCAGACTACTTTTCCAGAATAGGAAAGACTGGATGCAGGCTGTCTTTGCTAATTACTCACAATTCCTATGGAGGTTGTTGTCAACAAGCTGATAAAGAGCAAAGTAGGCACAAAACACAGATAGCAAACTCGGGCAGAAGGTACCAGTCTGAGTCACTCTGAGTTTACAAAGATGAAAAAAAAAGTATGGGCAGATCCTCTGTTGTAACACACCAAAGATGTTTTTTAAAGTTGTTTCTCCATGCAGATATAACAGGGTACTCTTGCAGTTGTCTCCATTAAACATATATATCTCATGAATTCACATATGAAAAACATCAATCCCAAAGTAGAAAGGAGTAATCACCACAGAGAAAATGTAACATCTTCTTCAACTACTCCCATCCCTCTATCCCACTGTGTTCTCAAGTGGGCAAACTGTGCTTGTCTTGGCGTGAGATTAGATTAAAGTTTAGAATGTGTAAATTGGTACGTGGGATCACGTAGCTTGCTAACTGCTATGTTGTACATTGTCTCCTCATTTTAAATTCTTTTTATTAAATTTGTTTTTAAGTTCTCACTAATGAAAAGTAAGGCTTTTTCTGTTCTCTAATGAACTTTGTCTCATGACCTTTCCTCTGCATGGTCTTAATTATTCCATACATTTCAGCCAATAGCAACCAAAGCCCATCAGGTTCCACAATCAGATCCTGCCCTGTATCATATTGTCTGCTATGTGACTTATCCATGGAACAACCTTCTTCTCAGGAGTCATTCCAAAGTAGGACTAAGAAGAGCTGTTTAGTCAGTAATCTCTCACGGCTATTGGCGGAGGCTGTATCCCCTCTGGCAATCAAAGCAGAAATGCCTGCAAAGGCACAGAGCCTTGTGGCTGGATCAGAGGGGGAAATCCTACAGCAGGCTAGTTGGATCCCTGCAGACCACCAACCTCCTTCAGGTTCTTCCTCCTGTGTAAGATAGAATATTTGCTAGGCTTATTCTGTTTTTCACCAGAAAGCACTATTTTTCTATTAGTTTGATGTGGTTTTAGCCTGTCTCAGCAGCAGGCTGGCCCCAAGATGGAGGCTTTATTGAAGGATATATTCTTCTTCACAAATAGAAAACGGCTCAGCTGGAGTGAGTGGACTTCATATATGAGGCTTAAGTGAAGTATATCTGCATCTTGCTTATTAAAAAAGAATATTAGAGGCAAATTGTTCAATTGAATACATCTAACAGTCTCTAAATACCTTAGAGTCCCCAATAGGAGGTACTGTCACTCTTTCAGTATTTTTACTTTTTTGTTGAGTCAGTCATTTTAGCCATCCGGCATATTCTACCCAACCTCTATCCATAGAGTACACCTATCATTATATACATCATCTTTTTTTTTTCACCTTTTTTCCTTTCAGGACTTTTTGACTGATCTGGTGATGTCTGAAGTGGATCGCTGTGGGGACCATGATGAGTTGATCTTCAGAGAAAATACACTTGCCACCAAATCCATTGAGGAATATCTCAAGTTGGTGGGACAGAAGTACCTGCAAGATGCACTAGGTATAGAAATATTTCTCTACGATTACATTTGTTATTTCTTATTTTAAAAGTTCATTATGAACCCATTAAGGGAGAAGAGGTGGTCCGAGTTGCTGAATCATCATTGGGTCAGAGAAATTAGTTAAAGTAGCCCAATCCAAATATTTGGATGTGGGGTGAAATACAGTATCTGCTGTAGTTTCTAACAAATTTGAGAATGATAGATTCCTTTGAGAAGCAGAACGTTTTCATTATTCACATTATTCAGCCATGCAATATATGTGGCTTTTAATGTAGATAAGAGTACCTTAATCTGTGTTCTATTCCTAATGTGTCTTCCTGTTCTACTATTTTAATTCTAAGCCCTTTATTATTCCTTTTTAGTACTGTTGAAAACTATAATAAATCCCTTTAACTCAAACTCATGAGAAATAACTTGGGTGAAGCCTAACCTATAGAGAATAGATTAATGTAGGCATCACATGCTTTCTTTGCCCTTCTCTTAATTGGATTCCTAGTACTCATCTGTAAATTCTATATCCTGATATCCCATAGCCCGGGGTAGGCAACCCAAAACACTCAAAGAGCCACTTGGACCCATTTCCCACCAAAAACAAAACACTGGGAGCCGCAAAACCCCCGAGCTCCTCTGTTACTGTCCCTCTCTGCCCCCTTAGTGCTGGATGGATCTGACCTGGAGAAGCTCGCAAGTCTTCTCCATTGGAAGCAAGGAGGGAGGGAGGGCTGAGGGAAACGGGCCTTTTCTATCTGCACAAAACCAGCAGTTGTAAATACTTTTCAAAAATGTAAAAAGAAAAAAAGAAAAATTACAAAAGAGCAAACACCATGAAGATGTATACTCCCATACACACAGACACACAGACACACACATTCAAAATCTGAAATATTTGAAGACCAGAGAGTCAAAGCAGGAGAGAAGCTAATTGTGTCAGATATGCACTGAGAAATCTATTTGCAGATTGACAAAAAAGTAACAAGAACCTATTTATTGTATATAATGTTTTATTATAAATCATGAATTGTATATTATTGCATCTGTACATCTGTTGTGGTTTTGTGATGTGCAAATTTCAGCATGGGTTTCATTGAGGTTTTCAGTTGCTTTTCTATTGTTTGGGGGAGTTTTAAAAAAATTGTTTTGGGTTTGTTTGGGTTTTTTTTTTTTTGACAGGACACACACAGGCCGGGCGGCAATGTCGGCTGGGGCAGTGGGGGCATTGCTTCACAGGCCGCCGAGCCAGCCATGTGTTTCCCTGGGCCGGTTGGCAGTGTTGGCTGGGGAGGCGGCCGGTGGGGGCATCGCTTCCCGGGCCGCCGAATCAGCCACACATTTCCCCGGGCCGGGCAGCAGTCTCGGCTCAGGCGGTGGGAAACACGTGGCTGGCTCGGGGATGGCCCAGGAAGCGATGCCCCCACCGGGACTGCCACCTGGTACAGGTAAGCCAGGGGGCGCGCCACCTGCCCCACGGCCGCTTTGCAGCGGTGCTCTGCGGACTCAGAGCCCCCTCCCTCCCCCGTCACTGACCGTCCATATCCAGCTCTGCTGCTTCTTGGCCAACAGTCGCACTGGCTGGGCATCGCAGGGGCTGCGGTTTGCGGGAGGGCTGGCCCACTCAGCGGAGGCTCCAGTGGGCTGCTCCCAGCCGGGATCCCAGAGCTTCCCCGCGCAGCTCCCCAGCCACATGAGCCTTGGACGGGGCCAGCCCAGGAAAGGGACTTCCTGGCCGCGCTTCTCCCAGGGAGCGGGGCACCCGGGCGCAGGGCCAATCAGGAGCCCTGTGAGGGGGCAAGTCCGCATGAGAGAGAGAGAGAGACAGAGAGGGGAAGCGCAAGTACCTGTCTGTCTCTCTGCAAATGGCGGAGGAGGCTCCAGAGCCTCATGCAGCTCCGGAGCCACGGGTTACCGACCCCTGCCATAGCCCTTCTAAATAAGTAATTCTCTGTTTTGTCCCAAATTGTGGACAAATACACCTTGCCGCACAGCAGTACTTGGGCTATCAATGCCGGATTGCAAACTGTCAACCCAGCAACCTAACCATGTGAGCACCCCCCCTTTTTTTGTAATTTTTTTTTATTTTTTTCTGTACAATTCAATAGTACTTATTCAACAATGTATTGTCTGAGTTTATCATTCACTAATACAAATAATTCCTAATCCTTTATTCTTTTCTCCAGCCATTGATAAAACAAGTCCCAAGTCTGATAGCATTCTTTCTTCTTTTTCTTTCAACCTCATAGTACATCTGTCCATTTCTGCACAATCTAATATTTTTTTAATTATTTTTTTCTTCTGATGGTAATTCTTCCTTTTTCCAATATTGTGCAAATATAATTCTTGCTGCATGTAAAATCAAATGTAAAATCAAATATATACTTCGTTTATCAATCTTTTCTAGGATAATACCTAATAAAAAAAGTTCAAGTTTAAAATCTACATGTTTTCCCAACATCTTTTCTAGCCAAGTATATATTTTTTTCCAGTACTTCTTTCTTCAACACATGTTCCCCATACATGATAATAAGTACCTGACTTACGTTTACATTTCCAACATCTATCTGACATATTTTAAAACATTTTTTCCAATCTTGCTGGTAGCAAGTGCCATTTATAAAACATTTTATGTAAATTTTCTTTATAAAAAGCTGCCATTGTCAGTTTATAATTTCCTTCCCATAAGTTTTGCCATTTTTCTAATTCTGTGTTATATCCAAAGTTCTTTGCCCATGTTATCATTGTTTCTTTAACTTATTCATCTTTCATTTTCAAATTCAATAAAAATGTATAGATTTTCTTAATTAGTTTCTCATCAGAGGTTAATAATGTCTGATCAAACAAGGTCTGCTCTTTATAAAATCCATACAGTTTGACATCTTTATCATATCTAACTTGCATTAATAGGTATGTCCACCATGATAGATCTACACCCTGATTTTCCATCTCTTGCTTAGATTTTAAATTCCCTTCAGAATTTAGAATATCTCTATATGTCCATATTTTCTCAAAGTTAACTAAATTTGGATATATAAATGCTTCCGCTGTTGAAAGCCATCCTTGTATTTTCAAATATATTTTACATTTTATTTTTTCCCATGTTAATAGTAATGCATTTCTTATATAGTGGTTCTGAAAGTACTTATGCATTTTATTTTTTCCATACCATAAAAAGGCATGTCAGCCAAGTTGTTAGTCATGTCCCTCCAAATATAATAACCTTTTGTTTCTGAGAGTTATCCATTCTTTTACCCATGTTAATACAGATGCTTGATAATATAAAACCCACTCTGGCAAGCCAAAACCTCCATTTTCCTTAGCTTCTTGTAGCATTTTCAATTTAATTCTAGCTTTCTTTTCTTGCCAAATAAATTTCAAAATTAATGAATTTAAGTCTTCAAAAAAAATTTCTCTAGTTTTATAGGTATTGTTTGAAATAGAAACAGTATTTTTGGTAGCATATTCATTTTCACCGTAGCAATTCTTCATAACATCGACAATTGCAAGTTTTTCCATTTTCCAGGTCTTATTTGGTTTAATAATTTTATATAGTTATTTTCTTTTATCGTTGAACATCTTGCTGTTAAATATATTCCCATATATTCAACCTTTTTAACTATTTGTAGTTCTATTTTTTCTGATATTTGTTTTTTTTTTGCTTATCTGTGAGATTTTTTAACTATCGCTTTAGTTTTTGTTTATTTTCAGACCTGCTATCTCTCCATACTGTTCTATCTTTTCCAGTAATTTAGGAATCATCTCTAAAGGTTCTTCTAAAACAGCGGTTCTCAACCTATGGGTCGTGACCCCATTTGGGGTCGATCGACCATTTCTCGGGGGTCGCCAAACAAGGCGATCCGCCATTTTTCCCCCTCGGGGGGCGCCGCCGCACATGCGCGCTGCGCATGGGGCGCCGCCGTACACATGCGCCGCGCATGGGGGCGCCGCCTCGCATGGGGGGCGCTGCACATGGGGCGGCGCCGCGCATGTGAAGCACGTTTGTGTGACGGGGGTCGCCGTCACACAAACGTTGAGAAGCACTGTTCTAAAATAAATACCAAGTCATCTGCAAATGTTTGCAATTTATAAGTTTCACCTTTTATTTCTAATCTTTTAATTTCTGTATCTTATCTAATATTTCTGTTAAAACTTCCAAAGTTAAGATAAATAACAATGGAGATAGTGGACATCCTTATCTTGTACCTTTTCTTATCTCAAAATTCTCTGTGTAATCTCCGTTCACAATCACTTTTGCTGGTTGCTTATGGTTTATTGTTTCAATCATATTTATAAAGTTTTGTCCAAAGTCCATTATTTTGTTCAGTCATAAATTGCCAGGAAACATTATCAAACGCCTTTTGGGCATCTAAAAATATTAGTGCCAATTGTTTCCCTGGATGCAGTTCATAGTATTCCAATATGTCCATTATAACTCTTAGATTATTTTTAATTTGTCTCTTTGGTAAAAATCCATTTTGATCTGGATGTATAAATTCATTTAAAAATCTTTTCAGTCTCTCTGTTGTTATTGAAATAAAAATTTTATAATCCACATTTAGTAATGATATCGGTCTATAATTTTTTATCTGCATCAAATCTGAATCTTCTTTTAGTATTAAAGTAATATTTGCTTCTGTCCATATACTTGAAAATTTAGCCTCCAACAAAAGTTCATTACAAACATCTTTCAACAGTGCACTTAATGTGTCTTGTAGGCATTTATATAACTTTGTCAGTAGCCCATCTGATCCCGGTGTTTTTTCATTTTTTTGTCTTCTTATAGCCTCTGTTAATTTCATCATTGTTATTTTTTCATTTAACATGATTTTAAAGTTTTCTGAAATTTTTGGTAAATTATTCTTCTCCAGATATTGAATTGTTTTTCTCCCGTGAAATTTCTTCTATATCACATAGTTTCTCATAGTATTCTTTAATTATCTTTTTTATTTCTTGATTTTTAATTTGTAAAGAGTCTTTTTCATCTACTAAATTATTTATCAGTTTTTTTTCCTTCTGTTTTCTAAGTTTATAGGCTAACTATCTTCTGGGTTTGTTTGTATTTTCAAAAAAAATGTTTTGCTCTTTTAATTTGCTGCCAATTTTTCTGATTCCATTAAATTTAATTTATGTTTTATTATTATTTCCATTTATTATTTCCATTTGTTTTTTCAGTATTGTCTTTTGTAGATTTATTTGTAGTTCTAATTCTAGTTTTTTAAATTCCTCCCTTAATAGTATATATTGTTGTTTTTTTGTTTGTTTTTCATCATATATGTTATAGCTATATCTCTAAAGAATGCTTTGACTGTATCGCATACATTTTGTAGTTTTGTATCATCTTTTTTGTTTTCTTTAAAAAAGAACTCCATTTCTCTTGTTGCTAATTCTATGAATTCTTTTTATTTTAAGATGGATTGATTCAATGTTCATTTTAATTTTTTTGTATTCCTTTCCATGTCATTTTTAAAGGATTATGATCTGCCCATGTACCTAATTCTTTCTCAGTCTCCTGCATATTGGTCCTTAATTCAGGTGTCATCCAAATCATGTCAATTCTGGACCAAGATTTGTGACTATTGGAATATCATGTATATTGTAATTTTTTCAGATTAGTTTCCCTCCAAATATTTTGTATCCCAATTTCCTCTATCATATTAAAAAAAAGTCTTAGGTAGTCTTTTTCTTCCACTTTTTCCTATGTTACTGCTTTTATAATCCAATGTCCCATCCATCTACTATTGTGTTAAAGTCTCCTATTAAACAAATATTTTGGTACTCCATTTCTGTTATTTTTCTATGGAGATTTTGATAGAATTCTTCTTGTTTATTATTTGGTGCATATATTGCTTTGTTTTGATATAGAGATATTTCCACCATCACAATTCTTCCTTCTTCATCTGAATAAATCATTTTAGAATCTGTTGTCTCTAACATAAACAGCTACTTTCCCTTTTTTTCTGTTGTGCTAATGCATAATAAAGTTTCCCAATTTTTGGGTATTCCAAGAGTTTATAATATTGTTTTTTTATATGTATCTCTTGCAAACAAATTATATCACTATTTAATTTCTGTAATTTTTTGCAGATTTTATTTCTTTTTGATGGAGAATTCAGTCCATTTATGTTTACTGAAAAAAATCCGTTTTCTTTCTCCATTTTGTTTACTTACCCCTTTTTATTCTAATATAAATTAAGTTATTAAATAAAGCTAATATACAGCTTTAAGAAATTTATGATTGTTTATGGCCATAAG